CAGTTTATGCCGTTATGGTTTGATCCCTGAACTCACCTTGGATGTTTTTTATCCTTTTTTCCCATGGAATGAAGAACACAATGAAATTTTTGAACTGTCTTTTCACTTGCCTAAAAAACTGTTAAACAAAGTGATAAAGAAAATACTATTCGATGAGAGAAAATCGCCACAAAAATCAACCTTTTTCATTCGTTGTGATGTTGGTACAAAGGTCAGAAGATACAAAACAATAAATGGTGAAAAGATCTTAAGAAGATCGTTGGGTAGGCACACGGAAGAATAGCAATTTCTATTTCGATGTTGCTATGAACAGTGTCAGTCACACATAATCAGAAGGATTCATTTCACTCCGGAGTGCGGGCCCTCAGGAAGATTTATAACACTTTACGGTTAGATATTAATGACTGTGAAGTATGATAAAGGAAACGTTCACCAGAGGTCCCGAAACATTACGAATAACACTGAAGATCTTAACAACAACAACAACAACAACAACAACAACAACAAAACAGCATATGTTCTTATCTTGTTTGACCAAAGGTGACCAATAAACTTGAACTTGCACCATGCCTAATGAACTGGACGAGGTGGGGAAGTCTTCAACAAGTAAAATGCAAGTGTCTGGCCGTGGAATGGTAACAATACCAAAACAATCCGAAGTCACCAATTAAATAAACTAAACTCAGTGAACATTACGTACCCTTATCCTAGACTCTTTGAAATGCTGTAACTTATTCAGATCACCGGAATGTTGCTCCACGTAATTTTTGGCATTTCTGTAGAGAAGTAAAAAGAATAGGCCATCTGTATTACATGGCCGCAACTACTTGGTGTTTCCATCACGAAAACATAAAAGCGAGGATTCCCGTATCACAACATATCACCTACTTAATACTTATTTTAATCAACGACACTAGGATTTTGGTTTTTCGTTTCTCTATTATGATAATAGAGAAAGGAAAAACCAAAATCCTAGGGTCGCTGATTAAAATAAGTACTGGGGACTTTGATGTAACACTCAAACGCCTTTACAGTAATCCTTTAATTTTTTTCTTGTTAGTAGAAAATATACTTCGTTACATTTTCTGTTTAAATTGGAAACTGTTATTTTAGTTTTGGTTTCCGGCATCTTCAAGCTCGTTTTGCATAGTCGCTGTTTCTTGAAGTAAATTTAGCACAGAAGCTCGTCTGCGACGGAACAAACCAATTCATTTGTCCATCTCAAATGTTCTGCACTCACCGCATGGTGCTTGCAAATGAGCTTGCAAATATTTAATAACCGATCCTTACAACTGTGCGTGGTTCTGAAAATCGTTCTTTGCTACGTGTTTACCTTAATATTTGTAACTTTCTCTGCATAGTCCAAGGCTTTTCTCGCAGGCCTCCGATGATTTCCAGCTGCATCTGAATGTTCTCAAACACATCAGTGAACATATCTTCTGTTGACGTTTTTTGCTGGGAATCACTGCAAGATAGTGAATTGGGAGGGTATCTAATGATGTTCTTTCAATATCAGTTTTTTTCATGAATGTGCCATTCTTACCTTGCTGAGGACACAGCTGGCTCCTGGTTCTTGTTCTCATCCTTATCTTTGCTCAGTTTTTCGTTTACCTCAGCCAATTTTGAAGTACGTTTCCTAAACCTCAGAAGTCTGGATCTCGATTTCTTTTCGTTGAGATCATCCGGGATATCCCTGTCTTGGGTGCCACCATTTTTGTCCCTCTCCGAGCTGATGCTTACCTCAAAACCTGTTTGGGACAGATGTGTTGCTGAGATGTGAGATGTAAGATGTACGCTTTGACACAGCTATGGTTGACAATGTAAACTGATGATCGTAAGCAATCCCTCAAAGGATTTACTCGGGTTTTTATTTGCCTTGCTTAGCTCTATAACTGCTTTAAACCTCGTCCTATTATTCTGCTTTTCAAAACAATCGGAGTCAAAAACGCATACCACCACCACCCCCAGTTCAAGGGTAGAAGAAAGCGAGGGCACCCAACCAAAACTAGAGAAGGTTCGATGCACAAAGAGTCAAGAGCACCAGGAAAGGATTAGAATATGATCATCCAGCTGGTACAGAACAAGAAACTTAAAAGTGGCTTGAGTTTGGGGATAGCAAGTACCACCACCACCATCATTACCGTCGTCTTCATCTTCGTCTTCGTCGTCCTCCTCGCCCTCGCCCTCGCCCTCGCCCTCGCCCTCGCCCTCCTTCTCATCATCATCATCATCATCATCATCATCATCATCATCGCCATCATCGTTATCAGTAGCATAATCATTATAATTACAACTATCACCACGAAAGACATCTTTTGACCACGAACCTTGATGTTTATGATTTATGTCAAACCGAACGCGCGTAACTACATGAGCACTCGAAAGTCAAGGATTTCCATACTTCTGTTTTATTTTAAACGAACATATTTGGGTAACGTTACCTCTTATCTCGGAAGACGTTCTGGTTCCACTTGTCGACATTTTAACCCTTCAAGTACTCATTATCATCGCAACACGCAATTCCTGAAATGGCTGCAAAAGAAGAACCGTTAATAAAAGTAGATAAGCTGAGCTTTTAACAAGAGAGCGAAGCGAGAGTTAAAAGCTGCGCTTTGTTTATACATTTGAAGCCGTAGTTTGTATTCAGTTTTCGCCAGCCAGGGATTCCACGACTCACCTACTCTCTTGTACGTGTGTAATCCTCTTGTATAATGAGAAATTACTCGGCACTGATTTGGTATTTGTACAAGCACTGCAAGTAAAATGAATTTAACGAACCGCAGCTCTAAAAAGATCATAGAGTACGCCAACCTTGTTTTGCGTGGGAGTATATTAGATGAACTCATATTTAGATGCCGGATGTTTTTAGGTGATTAAAATCGAATGATTGAATGAGTGAATGCTGAGCAGATTGCACAAGCCTGTGATTAATGCTTCACACTGATCACGGACAACATTTAATAACTAATCACGTTTACATTGACCTTGGGTAGCGAGCCACAGATTGCTTTCGTGTACCATCACATCACCTCTAGTCATTTTTGGTACAATTGTATTGTTACTATCTTCGTCTCTCTTGTGTTCGTTTTAATTTATTTTTCGTTTATGCATAACAGTCTTCATCTTCTGAGATTGATCTGGAAACATCTAAGAGATCGAAGAGGAAGTAAAAACATCTGCAGGTGTATAAATGTCGTATTTACCTGTCTAATTTTCTTAACATCAATTCAGCCCGAACAGCAATAAATATGAAAGACATATATCTGTATATCGTAGGACATAACACTAATAGAATGCTTACCTTGTTGCTTAGCGAAAAAGCAAAAATATTAGCTGAAATTTATGAAGAAAATCGTGTTTAGCATTACATAAGGCTCCTTGCTAATTACGCAGTATAGTTTTAAAAAGGAATATCTTTACCATAATGACAGAATTTTTGTTCACAGATAAATATCGCTAAAGTTTGGTTCTGCAGTAACAAATTCCGGATGTTTTTAAGGAAAGGGAGGAAAACATTTTTTATTCTGAATACTTCACCAAATCAGCGCCCTTCAACCTTTCCAAAACGATTGCTGCCGAGGGTTTCCAGTTCAGTTAGGGCGACTACATTTAGTGAATATGTTTGAAACAGAAATTTAAATTAAGGTTACCTAGCAAATAAATAAAATATTGGCGATAGATATTGATATTTTAATCTGAGCCTTTGATTAAAAACGCTCGCTGCTTAATAATGTTCTAGCCGTTATGATTATAGAAGTATTATTCCTAAATATCTTTTTACCTACTGTTTGGAAGATCATCGTAATCTTTGGATTTCGTGTCGCTTTTCTATCTCTTAAAACGTACGGGAGTCATTTCTGTATAAAGGACTCCGTGACAAATTTGCCAATTCTCTGTTTCCACATTTACATAATTCCGTGCTTTTGATCGAAAAATAGTTTATTTTGTTTTGTCGCCTAATTGTTCTGCAAGCGAATAAATGAAGCGAACGGCTTAGATTACAAGACTGAAGCTCCCCATGATCATTAATAATAAATAATGTTCAAAGAGAAAAAGATCTTAACATTACAGTTTCGTCGTTTTCCAACAGTAATGCAGGGCCGCCGGCATAAGAGGGACTTTTAGAAGATGGAAACCTTGAGGAGCAGGCATCACCCTGCTCTGCTTAACCGAAGTAAGAAATTGCTATTTGCTTTTTGTTTTACTGATTCTCTTTTTCTGGTTGTAGTGCGAAGATTCGTATAAATTATAACGGGTTATAAACAGGGCGTAACAAAGGGAAAGTGTTTCTAATCAATGAAATCTTCGGCTGTACAGAGGTCACCCAGCATAACAGTTTCCAAAGATGCCCCGGAATCGGCTGAGGAATCAAGAAGCAGCCATGCGTATAAGATTTGATGGTAAGTCCTAATCATATATAACTGTATTTTCTTTAGTTTTTACTACTTTTGAATGGTATCAAAGGAGCACTCAATCTCGATTTGATTACAAACACGCAATGAAAAGCAAAGGCGGGAAGAACTTCATTAGCATACTGCCCCAAGTTAATTTTAGATTGTAGGCCTAGCAGGTATTCCACGAATAAATAAAAGTTAAGTCAAGCCTCATAAAAGAGTAAAAATGGGCGTAAAGGGCGTTTCTTATTCAGTATTTTCGTTCTTGAATTGCGGGTAAAAAGCGACACCTCTTTGAAAGAGACCACCGGTCAAGTTGGCAACAACAATTACTGGACGAGCTACATTTGTTCAAAAAAAAAAAAAACGTAATAGCGTGCACGCAATGAGACAAACATAGTAACGAAATCCCGGTTCGGGTTTTTTCTTTCTAACGAATTTTTATACCACAGCCGTACCGGTACTCCGCCTGAGTATATTGAAATTTTAGTCTCTTCCGAGCATCATTCCAAATACAACGAAACGTTATTCATAATAACTAGATAACTGTGGCTGCTTACGAGAACTTTTCGCCGCGGGAAATCAAATGGTTTCGGAAATATAAGAATAGTTTTGAGGTTGAGGAGTATATTTCCATAAGACTGACTCCTCACTCTGAGGGCAATATCGTGATTAATCATAAAAATTACAATTTTGCAATTTTGCAAGACTCTGACAAATCACGATACTTTGCGATAACCGAGTTCAATAACTGATTTATTATTCGATTTTCATAAATTTGTTTTCATATTTGTAATCGGCACCGATTTGCCATTTTCACACAAGACCGCGGTTATAATTATACATGAGCAGAATATAACTTGCAGCATTGACAGGGCAAGTGCATGATGGGATCTCAGCCAATGAAAAGGCAAAAAAAATGTATCGAACGTGATAAACAATGTATTAATATATGGCAAACAGGTCCAAGATGAAAAGGATAATTCTGATTGGTTCCCTCACACACAAAACATTGCACCAAAGAAGCAGTTTGTTGTTAAGAAGGAATCTTGTTTCCATCATATTTGGTGGACAATTTGAGTTTAATTCTCACGGTAGCGACCTACTATCTTTCCTTTTCCTGAAATTGCTGAAGTCAGAAAACAACGGTCAGTGTGCTAGTGCTCCGGCGGAAGCTGCTGATAACATGACAATCTGTTTCCGTTGGAAGCTGTTTCAAAACAGCTAGCTGACTAGCTAGTCAGTGTTTAAGATCTGTTTGCACTCCGGCAGTCAATTCACTGTCTTTGGGAATAGTATGTCAGTTTTACAAGGTTTCTTTGTAAATAAAAGATCATAAAAGGGAAAATAAATTAAGCCGTAGTCCCGCGGTTTTATTTCGGTACAAAGTCGTAACATTTTCGTAACGCCGAAATTTTACACCGAAGAGCCGACGGCCGCCGAAGCATCACTTGATGCATGCAAACCACAAATGTTATCGTTCGTTGTGTTTATGCTTTCAGTGGTGCCAGGGCTGTATTATATGATTTGCGGCGCCTTTATGATAAGGAAGACGAATGATCGGTGAATTAATCGTAACTAAAAATGCCGGGAAAACTACGAAGGAATGAGTACGACCTGGTTGAAGAAGCTTATGACAGCAAGTCTCCCGTACACAACGAGGATGCCTTCGAACATGGGATTGTCTTCAGAGTTAAGGTACCACCGATACATGAAGCCAGCTTGTGCATTTTGCCTTTTGTCCCACCAAATAGCTAATTTAAAATGTGTTGTTTAGTGCGACCAGTTAAGGGTATCGTTTGTGCTGGAGGCTTCACGGAATCACTTTTCCGTTAGTTTTTGAGTGGTACGTTGTGATTAGGCTAATTGTGTTTTATTGTCAGTGTTCGTGACGAACAGATGTTTATGTTTTAAAGCTGCGAGGAAGGTGTGAATTATACATATTTGCCTTCTTTTATTCTCTCTTAACAGTATATTGGGACGAAGGAAATTCAGAAACCAAGCAGCCGAGCTGAAATTGTCACTTCAATGCGACGAATACGGGTACTGTGGGAAAATGTCTTGACTAAACTAAACAGAGAGTCATTCCAGAACTTGTTAATAATTCTTTGCTAATGTATTCCTGATATATTGTATTCGTTTAGCTTTATCGCAAGTTGTTGTCTCAAGGCGACTTAATTTATAATGCAGAATCAAGCAACTTGTTGTTATTTCGAATTACGCTTACTATAAGCTTAAATTGAACCTTGCAAGAACGAGCAGTCACTCCTGTAGCCTTAGAAATTATCACTTCAAATAAAGCCCTTGACATATGTTCTCAGAGTTCTGACGTTCGTAAACACTCTTGGTAACGATGCTTTCATGCAATTATGCAAAGTTATGAATTCCGGTTTTTCTAAACGTAATTTGTCAAACAATCATCCCGACAATGAATTATTTTCATTGGCTAAATAGGACTATTAATTAAACATTTTAATTTTAAGGTCGACCTTCTTTTACAAACAGAATATTATGCCTCCGATAGATAGCCTCGGGTCATTTCTATCTGCAGGGGTCTGTAGGCTAAATTATATAACACACTATATATAGCTAGTTTTTGTGCAAAATAGTTTGTAACAAGCGTGTTAGTCCAAATACGTTGTAGGTCTTGTAAGTGAGAATAACATTTTAAAGTTGGAGTCCTCGAGTAGTTTTGATGCTCTGTTTTCAAGTTTCAACTGAATTTTGTTATCACTGAACCATATCAAATCCCAGCTGTATCTAGCGATTCTTTTTCACGTAAGATGTGATGCTCTCAATGGGTCCTTGTACAGGTATCTGTACGGGTTGACTACTTGTAAATTCGAGACCTCAGGAGCTAGCTAGATTTAAGTCTATAAGTCTATAATATTTGACTGTGAGACTGAGACTAAGTTAGCCTTAAAAAAACTGAGACACCAAGATGGCTTACAAGTGAATAAAATAGAGACTATGAGATCTGTGAAATTTGATTACCATTCTGTGAAATGCCTGTTTTTGGAAGGACCATTTTGCCTGACCCTTACTGTTTGTTAACCGCTATTTCAGAATTAAGTTCTTTTCTCCTGAAGTGGCTGGAACAAAGTAAATTTAATGAGTGATGGTTTCTTAGAGGAACTTAAAGTAAAAAAAAAGTGATTGAATTCCTCACCTTTCCCAGCTTGGCTGTCATTTGGTAGAATCGGAAGTTAGAAGTACATGGCTAAAGAATTGCGTTATCCATTGTAACTTTCAAAAGTTGATTCAAAGAATGAAAACCACACTTGGATAATTTAATATGAACGGTCCATGTTCCATGTTCCATGTTCCACAGCTTCAAGGCTCCCTACCCAAAATTGTAAATATCCTAAGATTCCTTTGTCTGGTAATTCCCACAAACCACTTGATCTTACGAAGTCAAACAAAACAAAATGTAGAAGCTTGGCCAAATCCTTGGAAATCCAAAAATCTGAAATCCAAAATCTTACCATGTAAGAATTTTGATATATTGAATTTGACCTATTACTTACAGCAGGTGATGTGGTCAAGTTGTTTAGGATACAATGTATCTGCACAGTTCTTTTCAAATTTTCCATCCTGGCACTAACTGGATTTGTTCTTGGTACAACTATGCACCCCTCTGATCAGTTCATCGGCTATGCAGTGGGGCTGTTGATAAATTTATGTTTAATTTGCACCCTTTTTATGACATCCACTACATATACATGTACATAAAGTCAACTATGAACTTTTTATTTTACATTCTACCAATTTAAGTGAAGTGCAGTTCTTGCACAAAGTATACTGGACATTTCACTGTTGAATTGTAGTAATTAAAAGGAATTTACCGATCAAATTATCAAAATGTTAAATGTAAGTGTTTTCTGTTTTTGTGTACATGTGTAGGGGATTTCCTACAAAATTTTACTCAGTAATATAGGCAGTCATGACCAAAACTGAAAGCTCATCGGTATACTTGTCTTATCTCTACATATTTATTTCCATGCCCATTTTAAGGAAAGAAGTACATGCAGACAGAAACAGATTAAGGCCAATATAATTTTTCAATATTTTATTTAATTGCAGTATGAACACAAAGTTTATGGAACCAAGAAAACACGGACAGAATTATCAGTGTCTGTGAGTGGAATAAAGGTTGTTCACAAGGAAGATGTGAAGCGTGGCTGGATCACACACCATGTAATTTTCTTTTTCAGTTAGTTATGCATGTGCAGTGATTGTGTGTACTAATGGCATGGCTAACAAGCTGCATTTCATGTAGTTTGCTTAGTGCCAACCTTGCATGTAGACAAATAGACCATTTTACAGTTTTCTCTTTAGTGACCTGGCCTTTGAATGGCGGCGAGGCTGCAGGTGACCTTGTTTTGATAAATTAAGACCTTACTGCTTTTGTTGACGTGTAAATCAAGTTGTTCTTATGCTAACTAGTTTGCATTTAAATGAGAAAAGCAAAGAGGTCTGTATCAAAGCAAGGTCACCACCAGGCTCGCTTGCATTCACAGGCCAGGTAACTAAGCACACAACTGTAAAATGGCAGATTGTCTGAATGGGTATTTCAACTACATTGAGGCAGCAAGGTAGCTGAGAGATTCAGGATACATGTATGTTACAATGTTTCTCCAGAGATTAACAGCTATTCCCAATGACTTGCAACTGCATGTATTTATGAAGATTACATATAATTTCCTAAGGTCATTCAAACATTCAAACAATTTTCTGATCATTTCAGAAGAAGAAGATTTCTAAAGACATCCAAAGATTTATGATTAGTTACTAGCGATAGGCTACTACAGTGTACTTTAATTTCTGATTTGATATTTACAGTACTGTGTATTCAATCTATGTACTGCAGAGTATATGATACAAAGAAGGTCTTGATTTCCTACCCAGTACTTACATGTAATAGAAAATGCAAAGCAGTTATTATCACAAGAAATCAAATATTTTACCTTTGATAACTTTGTTTCAGAAAAAGAAAGACTTTGTGGAAACAGAAGTTATGCATTATCCTATAAACAGGTGACTTAAAATAATCATATTGCGTGTGGTTTATTTTAACCCTTTTTAATTGTCATCACTCACTCACTCATCCTCTTTACTCCTGTGAGTGGAGCATAAGGCTACACAGCAACAACTTCCATCTATCATGGTCTTTCACTTCCTGTTTTACCTCATTCCAGCTTGTCCAGCCCAGATCTTTTCGCTCAGTCTCGACAGTTCTCCTCCACGTGATCGCCTTCTCTCACCTTCTGGGGTTTTTACCACCATCCCCATTCCTTTTAATCCACAGAAATTTAATTGGCAGCCTTTTATCCATTTGAAAGAATTAGAGTTCATGTAGAAGAATTGAGAAGTATCCATAATGGGTGTATTTGTGTCATGATGTCGTCACTTTGGCAGGTTCGAGAAAATATCCCTACCCACCCTAAAGAGTGTTGTTGGAAATTCCAAGGGGGAGCGTATCAAAAGCCAAAATTTGTAAAGGAAAGTATGATCAAAAACTGGAATTTCCAGAGAGATTAGAGATTCAAACCAAAAAACCCTCTGTGGTGGGGTAGTGTGTGTGTGTGTGTGTGNGACAAGAGGGGTATGAATATTTTCTGGCATACTGACAAACCCATGAGCCACAGTGAGTCTCTCTGCCTTTCAAGGACGCAGCCAATACTGTGGCTGTGATGGCTTAATGCTGCAAGCATGGCATGTGTGCATGCGATGGATAATATCCAACGCCTACTGCTAGTTGTAACCATCATGTTAAGACTTCAGCAGTAAGCAGCTGAGATGTTGTGTTCTCCAACCAAGTTTGAACCCCCCACCCCTTGTTATTATGATTGTTCTCTATTACAGCATGAATAAATGGCAGTAATGATGTTATCACTCCTTGATAGTCCAGAGTTGAGTGATTGTATATTGATTTTATTATGAACAATTTTATTTTGTTGCATTCTAGAATCTTTTATGTGTCACACGACTCTCAGGATTTGCAGATCTTTAGTTTTATTTCCAAAGATGATGACATTTTTAAATGTAGTGTATTCAAAGCAAGTAATAAGGTACAGTTAATCCATCAAGCAAGCAAGTTTTTTTTGAATATTCCTTATGGTTCTAGAATTTATCAGAGTTGTCACCAGCAGTGAATTTTGTTTACCTAGATTATCAATTAAAATGCTTCATAGATAAGAACAGGAAATTAGAATTTTCAGAGATGTATTCTTTCAATGTACAGATTGAACTACTTTCACTACACCCTTAGAGAAATTTGTGGCAACTAAGTAATTAAATAATCACTTACTCAGTTCTTTTTGTGCCCTGTGAGCCTTGGATGGAAATTAAAGTCCCATAGCAGTAACTGTGTACTTAATTAATTTACCGGTAATTTGTAAATCTGTGTTACTTAGTCTTATTATATGGCTAGCGCCATGAGTGGGCAAGATGAACCAAATCCTGCACTGTGATTGGCTACCTGAGCAGGCAAGATGACGCTATCTTGTCCGCTTGGGACTACCCACCATGTCCCACAAGAAAAATTTCCCTGAAAGCCATACAATAAATCCTTTATTGACCAAGCTTGTTTGGTCAAGATGGCTGGAACTTGGCCAAAATCCAGCCATCGTGACCTCACATTTAGTCAATAATCCACTTATCATGGTAAATCAAAAATTGTAAATTACATTTTTGAGTTATTTTTTTGTAAAAAAAATACCTCTTAGTCGGCGCGTCGGGTATGTTATGGACGGGTCAATGGGTGAGTGAGTGAGTGAGTGAGTNTTACTATTTAGCTATCTTACCATGACCGATGTAACATCGCAACCAAAAAAACTTGTCAAATTAACCAAATCATTACTGTACCATGACTGCTTCTATCTACAAAACTTCACAGAAAAAAATAACTCTTGCACGTCTTGCGTGCCTATGTTCTGAGAAGGTGGCCAGCCAGTGTAAAGCTTATTGCAAATTTGCCTTATTTAATTGTACAGTCATGGATTGCAGTGGTGCATGCAGATTGACTTTTTAGATCATTTACAGGTTATAGGTAGTCAGACTATTGTTTCATCTTTTCATCACTTCAACCAGGAAATGCACTAAAAAAACTTACCTTCTCCTTCAGTCTTCTCCTATGCCCTGTTAATATGTGATTTTAAGAGTGTTGTCTTGAGGTGAAACATTTATAACTTGAAAGCAATTGAACCTGCAAAACATTTGATTATGTCTTATTTAGGCAGATGCTGTACATATTGTAAGGACGGTTGGTCAAGCTTTTGAGGTGTGTCATAAGAGAACTTTAAGCCAAACGGAGGAAGATAATAACGTGAAGACTGAACAAAACACTCAAGGTAAATAAGAACAAACAAATAAGCCAAAGAATTTCATTTTTTATATGTGGTTGGAATCATTTTATTTGTTTACAAGGAAAGAAAACCAAGCTGAGAAATGTTGTAGATTATGTAAATCAAGAGACTTGGTCTCGAAAAAATGCAGAATACAGAATTTTTTGTTCAGTAAAGAAAATGAAGTTTTTGAGGCAAAAGTGATCTTCAATCTTCTCATTGCCTCTGAGAGAAACAACACTGGCATTGGTCTGTGGTCACAGGCTATAAATCTGAAATTTGTTTGGTACACAACCAGGTAAGTACATGTAGGTAGATTCTTCATCAAATATACATGTAAACCTTGCTGGACAAACTATTTCCAGACCATGGCAATAATGAGTGTAAATTGCTAAAGAGATGATGTACAAATTAGTCAGTTCACTTCACTTTTAATTTGAATCAAATATCAGTCTTAATAAAACCTATGTAAATCATTGTATTTTTGCTTACAATGTCTAGAAGTTGATGGAGCAAAAACTGATGCACCCATGGAGACAGAAGTGATAAAACCTGCTGGTGGGCAGGTATTTAAACTGATGGGAAAATATAGCTAATTAAAGTGGTACTATGATGAAAATTGCATGTCTCCTATCTAAGCCATTTTAAAACATAAACAAGTAGTCTGTATGAGAAGAAAAATGCTGTTTACTATTTTCAAATGTCTCTTTTCGTTCCTGAGATATTCAAGTTTTTAAAATATGCAAATTAGCCAAATGATCACGTCATACACTCAACCAAATTTTGATCAAATATGATGAAGAAAGGTATCTCAGCCAATTTGTATCAGAAATGTTTGTTTCTTTGCAATAAGACTCTACTAAATGTGCTCCACAATTATACGAGCTTAACAGTTTTGTTGCCATGGCAGCACACTGGGTTCCAGGTCTCCCCAATATTAAAGGCTTTTCTGGCCACCTTTGGTGATCCATTTCGATATTTGCTAATGGTGTGTCATATGCACGATCCAGCAAGCATATAAATATGTTAGCTTGAGTTCGTGGCTTCGTTTAATGTTTTTCAAGCTGAAAATCACTGACATATTAAGATCAAGTGGGTGGGGACTCGAAAAGAGTGAGTTGCCATGGGAACAGAATTTTTTTATGGCTGTAGGTGTGTTTCCTGTAGAACTATTAGCCTACCAAGTTTCAATGGATTTTGCTGCAAATTGCTCTATTTATATACTTAATATAATATTGGGTCGAGTGTACATGTATGACGTCATCATTCATCTCATTTGCATGTTTTACACATTTTTCAAACTTAAATATTTCCGGAATTAATGCAGATATTTGAAAACGGTAAATGGTGTTTTTATTCTTTCATGGAATTCTATGTGATACACTTAAAAAATCAAGGGGTAAAAATTTGATCATAGTACCACTGTAAAATAATTTGAGGATTTGATTTGATTGTAAGTTTGATTGTAAATCAAACATAGTAAGTGTAAGCCTGATTACTCCAAAAATCTTTTGTCTGTATTTGATTTGAGTGAAAAAAATGGTTTATTCACACTTTCAGTGAGTGTGCTGTTTGTTGATTTCCTTTGTAAGTTAATAATTGTACATGGCGTATTTGATAATGTTAATAAATAAATGTGGTTTAATTTGTTCCTACTGTAGATGAATTTCTCGTCAGATGTTACAGGTATATGGACCAGTAAGGACGGCCAGCCTGATGCTGATCCTGGCATTGCACCCTTAACAATTCAACAGTTACGTCAAATTTATCAACAACAGCTAGACCATCAACGACAAGAGACACAGGCAGCCCAGGCACAGATTAAGCTTTTAACACAGCAGCTTGATAGTGAGGCTGCTGCAAGGCAGCTTCTACAGGTGTAGTAACACATTTGCTGCTCTCTGTTCTTTTAAATCAGTGTCCTAGTTAACACAAGCCAGAGTTTTTCTGCTATTATAATTATAATTGAAGGCTTTCGTGCAAAAAGGGCATATATAGGATTTTGGGCCGATTTTTATTTTTTGCAGGATCGAGCTAATTTTTGGCAGACTGACTTGTTTTGACATGAAAAGCATCGTTGCATAATTGAAAGGCCGCGTGCAAGAACGTCCCCTAGACTTTTTGGCCATTTTGAAAGTGTTCAAAAATAGCTGAATTTTGGCATGTAGGCTTCGTTGTACNCAAGCATGGGTGAGTACTTATGGGACTACTGTACCAGAGCTATCAATTGCGCTCTGCACTATCTGAGATTGTCTCACTAGTTTTTTTTAAAATAGATGTTTTGATTGTTGAAAGAAGTAGAGAAATAGACCGAAAAAAAAATCGACCAACCTCACATCGAACTGGTGTCACGACAAAACAAACTCGAATCCGGCCAGTTCAGCGCCTTATTCGCTTTCGCTAACAAAGCAGCAGTAAGAGAATAGCGTAATTATATGACTAATAAAACTAGCGGCAAATGCCATGCTTTGGTGACTTCATCATTTAGCAAAACAAAAGGTTTCTTTTGTTTTTCGCTCAACAAAAGATACCCTTGGAAAACTGAGTATTTTGCATACGTTATTTCTTGAAAACGAAGCGCAAATCAACTAAAGCAATTACACAATGATGCTTTACATTGTCAAAACAAGTCAGTCTGCCAAAAATTAGCTTGAAGCTTAATAAATTGGAATTTCCAGAGGGGTGGGGGATCTTAGAAAAAGTCCCTTCCTTGGAGGATGCATATATTTTCTGGAATTACATATTTAGTATTAAAATAGAGAGTTGTTTCGAGAACTTGGAGAGATCATCACAGTAAAGAATCTCTTTAATTGTAATCTTGACATTTCTGCTGGTACAGTAGATGTTGTTGGTAATTTCTTGACATTTTTCTGGTCTATGTGGTATTAATTAGCTTGGGATTTTGTTTTCAGAGTCAATTAGATCAAGTGCTGAAGCAAAATAAAGACTTGATAGCAACAATAACACAACTGGTTGATCAAGTTCAGACTATGCAGAACCAAATGCGTGGTCATGTTGATTCTGGTGTTAGCCTCAGCCTTGACATGGATGGAAAGATGCACTCACAAGCATCCTTATTTGTGGGTTCATCTCCCGTCAAGGATAGCAACACATCAGGAGCGGCTGTATCAAAGCGCCAGCTTCTTGGTGAACCAGTATTCCCCACAATCCCTCCTCCTGCTGTTACCCCAAGCCCAGTGATGTCTCATCGAAGTGAAATGGAAGCTCTAGACGGCAGCATTTCTTCATTGCAGTCAAGCAGTAAAGTTGCAAGTGCAGAATCATTTCTCCGCAGTGGTGCAGTAGCTGAAAGCAGTCCACTTCCTACCCTTGTTGACTTGAGTGCCTCTGATCTTGAAATGGTTGAACCAAGGCATGAGCCATTCCCTCAACAGTTTCTTCAGTTTGTGTTTGACAATTCTTCAAACTCTGAACCTGGAAGAGGTACTTCAGCCAGTAATGGAAGTTTAACACAATTCAGTGGAGTTAGTAGTCGAGCTAATACATCTTTGCCTCAAAACAACAGTGTGAAATCACCAGTTTTAAATGGCAACTCTTAACATAATATTTTGTAGTCTCCTAGACTGAGTATTATTAACTTAACTCATTAACCAAGAGTGAGGTCTTAATGGAAAAATGTCAAACCAAACCTTGCCATATTGACTGAGTGATAACCAGGTCAATATGGCAATACCAAGGTTTGAGATTTTCCCATAAAGACCGAATGTTCGAGGTTAATAAGTTATTTATTGCATGGCTTTTTGCTTTTTCTTCACAGGCATAAGTGGCCTGTGGGAATTATGGGAGAATAATGCCCTAGAGTTAGCCAAATTATCAGGGTGTGTGTTATATTGGCAACAAACACAGGCCATATAATAAACGTTGAATTGTTTTCACACACCATGTCATACACTTCAGGCCACTGTGCTCAAGTTTTGTTTTTCTATACCATGTAAACTTTACAAAAACGAAAAAACAAAATCTTGGTTGTCATGGTCTGTTGGAAAGACATGAAAAACTCACTTCAATTCCATTCTTATATATTACAGGAGCACTATTATGAGCATGGCTTTCAAAAGTCAAAATTCAGAAGACAATGTTTGCATCGAGGGACCTTATTAATAATCTAGTTTTGTTTAAGTACATCAATGGTCTAAAAGGGGTGTTATCATGATTTACGCATGTATTGATGGCTTCAATCTCACATTAATTGAGAACCTATGGCAGATCAATGCTTTCAAATTCAAAAGTCATTTGTTTACACTCCATTCAAAAATTCTTGTTAATATTTTCACTTTGGTGTTCTAGGTGCTTTTGTGTATGGACAAAACTAATTGGTGACACTCAACCAAAAATGAAGCAAAATCATTGTGATAGTGCCCCATTTGAGGGAGCTCACAAGAGAAAAACTAGGGAACTTGATAATTTTAAAATTTTTCTACCGTGGTAGCAAAAATATTTAGGCAAGGTCAATGTTAATAGGAATCCAATTTTTATGCACTAATTTTGTATTAATATTTTTCAATTGATTGTACATAACACCTGCAGAATCATTGCAGTGTATAGAATATATATATAATTGCTAAAAAGTTTTGCTAGTATATCCATCATTTTTATTTTTAAGGTCTGAATAAGTTCTATTTGTACAGCTTACAAAATGATGCAATCCAGTTTTTATCAATCTTTTTACATCTAGGAAGCATGTTTCTCACAAATTTGTTGGAACATTATGAGTACTGAATATGTAGTGCATATATAGGTGGGTAGACACTATTTTCCCTTGAATTATACTTTTTACATGTTTTCACCACAAATGTTGATCATTCAGTGATACTTTACATTACTGATGTGCTTCAATACCCTTTAACTCCAAGATTCATTTAGCATAAGAATTTGTGGTTGAAACAGAACTATCTTGACTGGCTGATCAAATGAAAGCTTTACAATTTTTCCAGGGCTAAGTTAATTCAAGAGGTTTGTTTGTTTGTTTACACTAGAAGGTCAAGGGTTGGGTTAAATGCACTTTTTTACCACATGATGTACATTCAAGAAGTACACAGCCATTCATGTTTTTGCAAACATTCACTCCCTTTATTGTTAGATATTAAAATCTAGCAGCCTAGCAGTCATTTCCTTTCTTAGAATACCAGAGGTGTTTGGAAACATGGGGCTCGAGATTCAGTAAACAAAAAGAAAATGGTGCAGGGCGGGCTTTGAGCATTTATGTACCTTTCACACTCTTCAAATGGAAACAGTTGCTAGGCAGGCTGCTGCTTTGTTAATTCCATAAAATATACAACTTGACAATGATTGCAAAAGTAATTCAATTTTTAGTTTACTCAACATATTCAGACATTTGTCACAGGTTTCTCAACACTTTTATCGCAATATCTTACAATAAGTTGGAAAAAATTTATAGCAAAGCTAGTCCTTAAATTTTAACTTTTAAAACTATTTTCTACTAAAAAGAGAAAAAAAAAAAGAAAAATTGGATTGTGCTGTAATCTTTCAGGTAAGAATATTGAAATAGTGCTATTAAGCTTTGTTAGGGCCTCCACAGACTAAACACTAAGTTGTCAATAACTATTTGTTATCAACAACTAAATTATTGAAAAGTAAAAAAAAAAGGTAGTGTGTGGGAGGAGTTGTCGACAACTATACACTAGATTTTTAGCTATGGACAATTAAGCGGTTTCCCTTTTCAAGAAAGGAATCTGCTTTAGTTGCTGACATCTACATTGTGAAATTTTCCCATGTGTGGGAATCATTGGTTTAGTAGTTGACAACTATCAAAACTGCATTGTCAGTGGTTTTTTGATGCATATTGTGTTTTCAGCATGCCTAGTGAACATTAGTTTCCATGGTCTCACTGACCCGATTTAGACATTGACAACTAAAACCATAATCTGTGAAATGTTCACATAGGACACAAATGATAACATTTAGTTCACCTTCACCTAACTTCTTGTGCCAGAGTGGCGCACAAGGCCTCAGATGACAAATAGTTGCTGACAACTAAGTGTCTAGTCTGTGGAAGCCCTTAGTATTTAATTGGATCATCTGCTGGTGCCAAGTTTGATCACACAATTTAATATATACATTTTTTGACACAACTTTAGCTTGTGAAATTCCAGCGAGAGGGTATTGATTTTAGACAGTAGCTTACTCAATTTGTGTGGTGCCAAAAAATATTCATACCTACCCTGGCATGGAAGGTCATTGGAAATTGAGGTGTGGAGTGGTCTCCAAACCTTAAATTTTTTAAAGGAAAGGGTGAAGCATAACTGGAATTTCTGGAGGGGTGGGGAGGGTTCAAAAATTGTCCATGAGGAGGGCATGGATATATTTTGGAACAACACATTGTAATTTTTGGATGGCTAATCAAGAGCACTGCATAATATAACATAAATGAAAATAAACACCAATGGAGACTGCCTGTATTTGTGTTTATGTAGCATTTGGTGTGGTGTCAACTACTATCACTGTTAAGCTGAATAGTTTATTTTCAGGAAACCAGATTTCTTGCTTAGGGTGCCTTTGGGGTGATCTGGATCAGGATCAGTGATCCAAGAGCACTTGAATCATAGTTCTTCAAAGGAACTGATGAATCCATGACCAGAGTGGATTCTTTGGTTCCTTTGATGCGCCATGATCTGAGTGATCTTGGATCACTGATCCTGATCCAGATCACTGATCCTGATCCAGATCACCCCAAAGAAATGCACCCTTAGACTAATCGTAAAGCACACCCATAAAACAGTGAGCCAAATTCTGCCTGTAGTCAGTATGTATTTATGGGTGACAGGCGAGGTAACCTGTTCAGCCCACACTCTGATATCTTCTTGCCACACTACCAAATGGAACATGTTTACCAAAATGCTACTTTAATTTCAATGGAAAATTGCCTTTTGCCTGTTTTCTGGCAAAGTATTTTCTCTTATTTAGGCATCAGTTTCATTTCCTCTTTTATTTATTGTGACAGTATCCTCTAAGACCCAGGGGCAGTTAGTTAGGGTGGGACGAAGTAAACACTGCAAAACTTCAATTAACTACAAAAGTTTACCAGTAAGGTGGGAAGAACCCCATCCTCGGAAACCCAGGGGCAGTTGGGGTTGGACAAAGTAACCCCTGCAAAAATTGAAGAGATGAAAGTTTACAAGTAAGGTGTGAAGAGTTCGTTGTAAACTTGCATTACTTCAATTTTTGTCAGGTTTACTTCATCATCCTGGATTCCCATGGATGATTTTGACAAATGGCTGATTTCTTATGTGCCAGTGTAATCCTTCAAATTTCACAAAACCAATGCACAAATTCTCCTTGTGAAACTGCAGCACATTTGTGTTGTCAGGAGTGAGAAGATGAAAAACATTGGGGGAATTCTAAATCACCATAAGCGAATGATTTGGAAATATCACAAGAAATTCAAGTGCTTGATCGTATCCTGGCTGCAAGCTTGTTTTTGCAAAAGGGGCATCCATGTGGATATAGCATCTGACAGAACAAAGTAAAGCACACAAAATCTGTACAGGTGCCATCTCTTTTTCCTGCTTTTTGTCTCTGAAGTCTGAATGGAAAAGAGGACTCCTAAGTATTTGCTCTTTTTGTCCAGATTTATTTACAGAGTTAGTCCATGGATCCCTTCCATTGCATGACTGTATTGTTTTCCAAAGTCTCTGTGTGCTTGTCTGTGAAACTCAGAGTACACTTATTAAGAATCAATCAAATGGCAAATGCTACTTTATTGAAAGCTTTGTTAACTTTAGTTTTCATTGCATATACCGTGTTTAACACAGCAACTATGGATCAAATTTATTTCTGTTTGGATGCTCTGGTAATTTAGCAAGTTCCTTACTGTACAAAATAAATAAGTGCATTTATTTAATAAACTTGAAGGCTGTCTTTTTTTATAAATCATATTAGCACAAGGCCTATCAGTTAACAAAATATAATCAAGGTAGAGTCAGGATCTAGCTTTTTCAAAGGGTGTTTGGTTTATTTTGATAACTACCTTAAGTCAAGAATCCTTGATAGTGTTGGTGTAAAACAATGAAGCAATAGTTAAATTATGTTTTCACTCATCCTCACTTAACTTGACAACCCTGAAAAAACATGAAGACAGGGATAAAAAAGATTGAACTGCAAAGTTAAAGGAGCTATGTCACAGTTTAGGCATCTTGAAAAGGTTAGCCTAAACGTTTCAAGTTTGTTGTTTGTAATATGCGTTAATCTTTTCCATCCCTAACCATCACCTTTTCTTTATGGTTTGCTATTATCTCTTTCCTGTTTTTCTATCTTGGTAAGCTACCATGTTCTGGTTTCATTCAATATAAAGGTAATTTTGTATGTGGCCAAAATACCATGACTGAAACCCTTTAATCAAAACAGTATTTCAGTACTATGAAAGCAGGTGGGGAATTTTTATCATAAAGGCAAGTCTTTGAGTTTAACCCTGTATGTTTGATTTATTGCTCTTTTTATCCATAGAGGCTGAATGCAGCTATAAGGTCTTCCTGTTCATTGTCTTGACTAAAAATAGATTAGCAAAAATATCAATTGGGTAAGTGATACATGTATATGCTCAATGATATAAATTCACTGTAATGTAGCTACTAAATATCTCCTAGGCACACAAGCAAGATCTTGTTACATACATTGTAGTCTCTGAAAGTACATAACTTGTCTTTAGGTTGCTGTGCCAAATACATGGCACAATTATTTTGTACTTTTCTATTCATTAATCTAGTCATTTCCTATTAAAAAAATATAAAAAACTGACTGATTCATTTATAAATGTAGATTTCTTTAACCCTACATGTAGACTTTAAACTTTGCAGGTACATTATGTTTTTGAACATGAAATCAAGTTAAATTACTTTGGCGACTTGCACTCAGGAATGGCTTTGATAGCAGCTTGTTGTGGTAGAGTGATAAAATCTACCAAATTCTTTCTGTATTGTCAAGTTGACACATGGAAAGTTCTGGTCAGAGTGTAGAGCTCTTCATCTTAGTGACTATGTACTGGCAGGCTGAATGTACTCCAGAGGACTGTGTGACGAGGAAAGAGATGACGCTGAAGAAGGCTGTTCTTCTGATGATGAGCCAGGAGTCAGAGCACTGGTGCTTGCTACACGTTCAATTAACGTTGCATGGAGGTCATGAATGGCTTCGTTGTGCTAGAATTAAAATGGCAAATAATTTGCAATTAGTTGCTACTTTATATTTATTATATCTCTTAGTTAGTACGCGTGCTGTGATTGGTCAATTTAGCGGGCTGTACTCTCTTGTACAGCCCACTAAAATTTAAAGTTGGTTTTGTTGCAAAACTGTTTTGTGATTTATCACCAAGTGCTCCAACTTTTATAGCAGGTAAAAGTTTAAAACTTTCTTTTACTCTAAATTGTGTATTAAGAGTGCTAGCGACTAAAAAACGATTTCAAATTGGCTCATTTTGCTTTCAAGGTTCGTCAGAAATTTGAAGCCATTCCTTGTGAATAGAAATCGTTCCTGAACCCGTCAGACACACAGTAGAGATATAATAAATATCTTACGAACCTTGTTTTCTCGTTCCCTACTGTAAGTTATGGATTCTCATTTTTTCCCCTTCGATTTGTGGCCTGCGTGCTTTGCGCTTGGGCCATAAATTGAATGGGAAAAAATGAGCATCCGTAACTTACAGTAGGGACCGAGAAAACGAGGTTAGTAAGAGGTATGTATTTTCTCCACCTCCCCACCCCAAGAACCATTAGGATAATGCTGCCGAAAGAAACCCAACAAACAAGGATGAAATCACGAGGTATACTAAAAGAACTTTGTATTTTCACTCCCATACTCTGCTAATATCCAGGCTCTTCCCAACATTGATTGCAAAACCCTGCTACCTTTAAAATGTGTATGATTAATTTTATTTCTTTAAGATTTTCGTTTTCATCCAATCGTGCATCACTGTTTCAAGTTGACATCTGATCTACGTAAAGAGTACTAAGTACGAGCAACAATATTTACAGTATGAATGATTCACTTCCTTTTTTCATATTTAAATCCTTTTAGTTTCTAGGCTCTCTCAAAGCAAAGAAAGCCAAACAACACTGTGTATGCTACCTAACAACAGTGCCTCAACTAACTTTGCATCCTTTAACAATGTCATTGGGCCAAATTCCCACTGAACAAGATATTGCCAGTTCCAAAGACTGGAAAATACCAATGTCTGAGTAATTCTAGCACAACTTAATGATACAGACTTCCTTAAACCAACTGCAGTTTCATTAATGACGGTATTTTGCTGTTCTGTTATGCACACATACCTCACTAGATGGTTGTGCTGCAGTCAAAACATGTACCACCTTCTGAGGGTCCACTTTCGGAAGGACGTACCACAAAAGCCGAAGGGTGTGACGTAACACACTTGGGTGTGACACCAAGGGTAGCAAAAATTGGTCAAAGACCAGGTCACAAAATTCAGGTTGAGAAAACTCATCTTGCCAAGCAGCCAGTGAGCTGATCAGAGTGTGAAGGGAGACCTCATCTAATGCACGCTCTTGACATGTGTTGACAAACCAAGGCAAGATCGCAACAAAAGTTTGTCTGTTTTAACATGAACAAAACAAAGAATTAAAATTTTATTACTTTCTCATTATTTTCAAGGTGTTAAACAAATTATGGCCTCTAAGATGCATTGCAAAATCAAAATTACATTTTCGGTAAACTTCTGAAAATTGACATGAAATTTTGATTTTTCAAGTGTTCTGCTCACAATTTCAGTACAGTATTAGGATGTATTCCACATATTATTCTTGAACTGAAATAGCAACCCAATTGAATGTACATTTATGGTTACTCCACTTACTCTACTCTGGAATAATGAATCAAACAAAGGGCACACCCAGAATTTTCTGGGAAAGAAGACATTTTGTAACTTAGGCTACAGTGAATTTCACTTAACTGCAGGGTACTACATTTTTTAATTCTTCCTTATTGAATGAAGGTTTTGGCAGGTTGTTACTTGTGCTTTCACCAAATCTTATGAAAATATTACAGTTCTTTCATAAGACCTAAACTTGTATATTTACCTGTCCTTTTGCTTGATAACATGGAGAAGATAACACCATGAAAGAGTGAAGGCTACCGAGTTTGATGAGGTGATCTCTACAAAATAATCAATGAACTGTATGGGACCCTCAACATCACCACCAGTGTCGTCCTTGTCAACAAGTTTATTGCCCAGTGAGTGAAGACTGCTGTCTACCATCAGAGACATCAGTAATGGAAGAAACTTGTGAATCAGCTCACCACCCTAAAATGCATCAAAAGATAAAAGAATAGTAAGTCGTAAAATAAAGCCCATGCTAGCTGTCCTTCCATTACACTGAAGTTACTACACGTATGTAATTGTAATAGTCTGTTCAGGAAAACACTAGGTATGAGTATCATAAGTAGTAAAAACAGATAACTCAAACATACCAATGCTACTTCAGTAAAATGTTGATTACTTATCATCTCCCAAGCACTGACACCAAGGTTTAACACTCGTAAGAGGAAACTCACATCTGGACAGGACTGAAATATTTAATGCAAATCATTGTCAGTGGCAGAATATGGCAGCATATTTCAAATTCATAATGCTACCACTAGATATTGGTGTCCTCTTCAGTGTTAAAAAGATCATCAAGTGAAACATGGTCAGCAGGTGTTCTTTTCAGATAAAATTGAAGAAAGGGGAGCAGTTTGGCTCAAGAAATGCTTTTCTTAGTATGTTTTTTTTATAGCCAGAGTGTAGAAGAATGTCTCCAAAATTGCCATTTCTGTTACAGCTGTTGGGCTAAGTTTGAAATAGTTTCTCATTAATTTTCTTTTAAACCAATACAAGTCATGCTTCAAGCTTTCATCTGGTCTTCACCGATACCATTCCATGAAAATAATTGTTTGGTGTGAAAATTAATATTCTTATATTTTTTTGCTCATTCAGTCGCAAAAACAGCAATTTCAACTGTCTGTATTGAAATAGTGATGTATTTAACAATTCTATTAGTTGTGTACTTGTAATCAGAAAAATTTAAATTCACTAGAGTTCAATAAACATCCTTAGAATTTTCTAATAATTGTACTATTTTTTATTGCTTTCAAAAATTAATTACAATAATTGTTAGCCCTTTGGAATCAAAGGGATTAAGGCGCATGTATTCTAACACATGATTATAATTTAAATACACTGTATTACAGGGAAACTCACCTTTGGCAAGGACTCTGTGTTGACAAGTCTCAGAAGGAGTTTGATAACACTTTTGGACACTGTGTTGATGGCAAATGGGTCACACAAAATCATTGCAATATCTCTGTAAAGACAACACGCCATTGAGCTTCCTCCAAATAACTTTATATGAAAATTATATCAATAATATTAGCTGTTCTGGACATTAATATTCGAATTAACTAATTTTTTCATAAGTTTTGTCCCCCTCTAACTGACACACAGTTACTCTTTCAATGACTTTTTATAGTTCTGCACACAACGTTGTGGCTTAAATTTGTTTTTGTTTGGAAAGTTAAATGCCAATTTGATTTTTATGGTCTTTGACAGGTATATCATATACATGTAAGACAAAGGAAACTAAAAATAAAATTTGCCTGAAACTTTTCAAACAAAAGACAAATTTAGGCCGTAACCTATACATTAATTAATATTTTAGGTATATGTAGCAGAAATCTATAAGCTTGCAAAGACAGTGATGCAAATCTGTTTTTCATTTTAAAGAAATTAAACCCTCACCCAAGAACCTGTTCTTCACTATGCTTGGCATGATCCAGAAATCCTTGCAATTCTTTTGTCCTTTTTCCTTCAATCACTTTTTCCCGTATACAAGCATCCAAACACCAGGTAAATTTATGGCATGGATCGATGTCCTTGATGTCTTTAATTTCAAGATCATGTACTGCCATTAGCAGCTCTGACCTAAGAGTGCAGTAATGGACTTCTTTAGTTCTTAGGAACAGTGTTCTGAGGAACTGCAACACAAGATTGTACAGTTCCAGAGACTTTCCAATCATCTTGGCTAAGCTCTGTACAACTGCATTTTGCCGCCTTGTTTTGGATGGCACTGAAAAGAATGTGTGTGAATTTAAAGGTTCGGTGGAGAAAAGAACACTGTATTTTGCTTCTACATATTGGTTCAAAAGTGGGCCAACAGCATCCCCAAACAACGCATGGTGCTTGACCCATATCTGCCTTTTAACTTCAATTGAACAATCTTCGTACAGCTTAGGGTCATTTGCAAGTTGTTCAAGGCATTCCTCAGGAACTTTTGGAAGGTATTTCATGACTTCCATAACAACAGGCCTAAGATGAGCCACGTGGATAAAAGGAAAGCACTGGTCAAGCAGACTGTGAAGTTTTTCCACCTCCAAATGCTTTACTTGTTCCAGCAATTTTTCTCGCAAGTTTTCCATCACATAACTGTTGAATTGCAATCTTTGAACGTCATGAAGGTCCAGGAAGGGCAAAGCAGGCTGCAGAGAAGGCAGCATAATACTATTTTCCTGCTGAAAGTTTTCTATGAAGTTGACAACTTCGAAGTCTTGAGCGGTGTTGAGTCCGCGTAAAATAAACTCCGTTCCAGGAAGTCCTGCCTGATCAAAACCGGCCATGATGATCAAAAGAGTGTTATCTTAACAAGCCGTAATAAAATAATTAGCTCCTGCTAAATTACCTACATAAATTAAGTGTTTTTCTCGGACAGTTTTTTCGCCATTTTGGCGGACATCGGCCGAAGCCGAATGCGCATGATCTTTGTTCTTATCGCAACGAATGCAGGGACTTTTATAGCAGCCATCTTTCGTTTCTTCCCACAACTCTTTGCTGCCCACAGAGCAAATCAAGATGGCGGACGGAACGGGCTTGGAAGAGAAAGTCCTGAAGTACGAAGAATTTTTAAATGACAAATTAAGAAAAGATCTAGAAACTGTGATGAAAACACAAGAAGAGGTAAACTCCAAAATTGCCGAATATTTACAGTTAAAAAGCGTCATAGAGAACATTAAAAACTACGATGGAGGCACTGGGAAAGGCCTGAAGACGCAAGTAGATCTCGGCTGTAACTTTTATTGTCAGGCGCAAATAACAGATCCATCGAAGATATTAGTCTCAGTTGGTTATGGATTCTTTGTTGAGTTTACGTTGGATGAAGCGCTGACATTTATCAAGAAAAAGTGCAATCAACTGACGACATACAGTTCAAAGTTAGGGAATGATTCCGCTAAAATCAAAGCTCACATCAAACTTGTCCTGGAAGGACTAAGAGAGTTGCAAGACATTGGTGCAAAGAAAGAAGAACCGAGGCCTGTTTGGTGAGGCAAAATTAATTATCTTCACCTCGAGAAAGCCTCGAAAGACAATATTTGGAGTTGCTCTACAGGTGATAGGGTTTTCACATACGCATAACCTATCAGGGCTCAGGTGAATTCACATACAGACCATGTGATCTTCCTCTGCAGCATATTGTAGTGTCAGTAGTTGCCTTAGGCTTGATTTCCGCCGCTTTCTCGAGTCCGGTCTACGTTCCTCCCCGAGAAGAGACGGCTGGACGCGTGAGCGGCAAAGCATGTCTGTGACGTA